CATGCGCATGCACAGGGGGGTGGGGGGATGTTGCTTATGCATTGCATTACGGGTGTGGGCATGCGTGTGCATTGTTGTGCACGCGCACACGCTCTTTCGGCATATGATGGCAAAAAGGTCAGGTATCACTGTAATAGGTATCTTAAAAATAAAGTATTGGCTTGTTCCTGCAACATTTGCTCAGTACAAGCTTCTTTTTCCATGCAGGAATTACAGAATATAACCTTGGAGTGTTGAACTTTTCTTCTGGAAAAAAAAAAAGGCATTTTTAAAGCCTGTATAAAAACCAAATCCATTTATCAGGATACTAGTTTTTTCTTTCACCTTTTAAGCAACAATTATTCAGGCCCTAAGAATTTATAATGCACAAGCACACATGGCATTGTTTAAGAGAAAAATGTACATCTGTGAGCAGAAGGGATATATTTGAACCTAAAGTGTATGGGAATGCACCTATCTATGTTTTCACACAATGAAAAAAGAGTTACACATAATATTATGTGTAAACAACTGCCAACTGATTAAAGGCTGGAAAGGTTATTAATAAAGTATTCCCTCTAACGTGCTTATTAGTTTTTATGAGATAAGCTCAGCTCATCCAAAACTGAGAGATATAATTGTGGAATTAGGATAAAAACAAAAGGCAAATGTTATTTTGAACAAACCAGTCATTTGATCTTTATGGTGAAACTAGTACCCTTATTCTAAGATTACAGTCCACTGATTGCAGTTTCACTTTTACTAAAAAAAATAAATAATCCGATTTGGAATACATAAAAGAGTATAGAACAAAAACCAGGCTATGTCAATCTTAGTAAAATGTCATGGAGTTAAATACACCTCAACATGCTTCTCCAACAGATCAAAAGTGTGCTTTCTGAAGAAGTGGGACCTATCCCTCTATATTATATTTTGGAGATATGCATTTAAAGCTATTGTTAGCGAGCTATGTAATTGAGTTTTTAATCTCCCTTCATCCAGTGAACTAGCAACTTGGCATGTTACATACAACATCACCAGAGCATTGCTCCTTCTCTTAATTTGTCTTTCTAAATATAAATTGATCAGAAATATTTTCTTTAAACAAAAAAAGGCTTCCTAACTTATAACAAATTCTGGTCTGCTTCTTATACAGGAGCAACAAATCAAACACTTATATCAACATCTAATAGTAGACCATGGATTAGGAATCAACAAATAGCAATGAGAAAGCTCTTCAGCAAACTATAACACTGGGGCAAACAGACTTCACCAATAATCCTTATGAGTAAATAAAGTTTCTCTCAAGTTGAACTTGATCCCTGGTAGAGTTTTGGGGTTTTGTTTTTTTTTGGCAATAGCAGTGAAGTGGCTTACCATTTATTCCTTCAGGATGTTTTTCCAATTTCTCTAGTTTTCATGTCAAAATTATAATCCTGATATTTTTCTGGTGATCCCCTATCTAAGAATGTGTGCATGTGTGTCTTTATTTATTGGACCTATATGCTATTCTAATCACAGATGACTCTAAGTGGCATACATGGCCAATAAAATAGTTAAAAACAAAATATATAATAAAATACCATCAGCATTGCTAATAATGCTGTACCCTGCAACACTCTTCTTTGTAGAAAGGACTAAGGAGAGTATCTCAAATCCCAGATGCATGCTTGAAAAGCTAAGGTTAAATTGCTGTTTGAAAACCCAGAAGTCAATGTAGAATCCGAACTTCCATTCTAGAGAACGTAAATTATTCTACAGCTGACAGTCGTCAGCAAGAGACCTGGAGAGTTATCTTTCTTCCAAATCTTAATGATGGGCAGAAACCATACATATATTCAAATCTTAAGCCATGTGGGACAGTAACATTAACAACCAACACTTTGAATTGCGTCTGGAAACAAACTGGTAACTAGAACCCATAAGTTTCTGAATTGGCGGACGTTTCTGGGTGGTTTTCATGGCAGCCCAATGAAAAGTAGTCCACCTATGAGATGATAGGCATGTGGGACAGTGATCAGACTCCTGGTCCATCAGTTGCAACAAGATGGAACGTACAAAGGTTCTCCTAGCTTCAGTTGCTACCTTTGAGCAGAAGCTGTTGATACAGGAGGACCCACAGATTATGAACTGATTCTGCCTGGGAAGCATGACCTTATTCAGAATTAAAAATATAATAATCAAGTCTGCCCATGGTCAAATTTTTTTAGATCAATCAAGAGCACCTCCTCCACTAATTCCTTCTTGGTAGTGTTCCTGTTTTATACATAGCTTTCGTGTAAACAGGAATAGAAGTCATTGAATGAGAAACTACAGAAACCTCCATGCTTGAGTAGCAGAAGTTTAAACAATATATTACTGCTCTTTTTAAAAAAGATATGAGAAGAGAAGAGAAGAGAAGAGAAGAGAAGAGAAGAGAAGAGAAGAGAAGAGAAGAGAAGAGAAGAGAAGAGAATTTTTTATTGGCCAAGTGTGATTGGACACACAAGGAATTTGTCTTGGTGCATATGCTCTCAATGTACATAAAAGAAAAGATACGTTCATCTTATTGAAGACATCTAGTCATTATCAGTTCAAACATAACCCTAAACCGTAGCTAATGAAGTCGTCTTATTTTCAGTAAAACACATAGACTGCATTCCAATGATGCACCCTTAGTTAATTGTAGTTGGGATGTGAATGTGCCAGAGGTTTGTTTTTTGAGTTTAGGCTTGCAAATATAGCTTGTTTATAAATTTCCGTGTCATCCAATGGCTTATTTCGGCCAGAATAAGCTAGAAAAAGGACCAATGTTTTATTTTAATCTTTTTCTGGATTATTCTGCTTAGAAGTAACTACTGCACTCTATTTGGATGACAAGGTAACTTAAAAATAAGCCAAGGGCACTTGTAGCTAAAACATAGTTGGCCAAATTGTTCAAACTGAACCAGTTTAAAGCTCAGGCTACAGACTAAACTGCAGATAATCTAAAACAGAAGTTTTCAATCTCTACCACGTACATGTATTACGGCAAAGCATGCAAGCTTAGAGAGATGCTTATTTCTGAAACATTAAACCATGGTTTTACATTACCTCCAAACACAGTGATTATTTAAACACAGGATGTTATTGTTTTTGCAATCACTATGTTCTGTTTAAAAATATAATATGCAATTATAGATAATAATTTGATTATTTTGCTTTCCTTTGAGCATCCAGTTTTATATGTGAGTACCTGAAGTTAATTTCAAAAATGCCAATTCACAATTTGGCTAAAGTTGGTGTTTTTCCATTTAGTATACAGTATTGTGGGATTTTAACAATGTAGGCTTATGCATACCTAATCAGAAGACCAGTGAGGCTTTCAGGTAACTATGTACACAAATGCATCCTAAATCTTTCTTGCATACTTTATAAATGAGGGCAATCAGTTTCCAGCCATCACATTTATGCTTAAAGGATAAGTAACCAGGACATTCAAATAGAAAACAATTGTGGCATAATCCATATCTCAGACAATAGCCAATAAATGTTGTTCATTACTTTCCCTGATGTAAACTATTCTGAAAATCCTACAGTTAAAAATGAATAATCTTCGTAAATGGATTTATTAGAAGGACAGTGTTTAGCTAACTCTATCCTTTTTGATTTACTGTTTTAAATAATATTTATTTTCAATTCAAGTGGGAGGTCTAGGAATAGTACTTATTTCAGAATGAAACATTGAAATCCTAAAAGTGTTTGTAAGTCATATAACTCTTGCTATACAGTAAAAATGTACAAGAGAAATGTTTTGGCGAACTTTTAAAACTATAGGTAGTTCCCGACCAGGGGTGGGTTCTAAATTTTTTTACTACCGGTTCTGTGGGCGTGGCTTATTTTGTAGGCATGGTTTGATGGTCACGTGACAATTCTTTAGGATTTAGCAGAGGTACTGGTCTACTAGGCTTTTAACTGCTTGCACAGCCATACCGGTCTACCCATTTGTTTTTGGAGCGTTCCGGTCTACCTATTTGTTTTTGGAGCGCACTGGTCTACCATCACACTGCCTTTTACCACTGATCAGCTGTAGGGTCGTCCTTTGAAGCGCCACGGCAAGAGTTTAAACAGTTTTTTTTCCTTCTAGCCGATCAGCTGGGACTCGGGAGGCAGCGAATAGATTGGGGGCGGAGGCAGGCAGAGGTGGTATTTATCAATTCTCCGAACTACTCAAAATTTCCACTACCGGTTCACAAGAACCGAGGAGAACCGGTAGCAACCCACCACTGTTCCCGACTTACAACAGTTCATTTAGTGACCATTCAAAGTTACAACGGCACTGAAAAAAGTGAGTTATGACCATTTTTCACACTTACAACTGTTATAGCATCCCTATGGACAAGTGATCAAAATTCAGACACTTGGCAACTGGCTCATATTTATAACGATCCTTGGGTCATGCGATCAACTTTTGCGATCTTCTGACAAGCAAAGTCAACGGAAGCCAGATTCACTTAATAACCATGAATGAAGGCGAATATATGTGTGTCAGGATAAAGCTACAGGATTCAATCTGGGTCAGTCATTGGGACCAGAGGTTTAATCTTCTGAGCTTTCAGACTTGTGATGGAGCCCATCTGCTAGAGAGAAGCTCCCTGAAAATGGGCTCCAACGTAAGTCCGAAAGCTCGGAAGACAAAACCTCTGGTCCAGGTGACTGACCCAGATTAGATCCTGCAATTTAATAACCATGTTACTAATTTACCAGCTAAAGTGATTCAGTTAACAACCGTAGCAAGAAAAATCTTAAAATGGGGCAAAATTTACTTTAACTATTGTCTCACTTAGCAACAGAAAGTTTGGACTTGATTATGCTCGTAAATCGAGGGCTACCTGTATTCAGGAAAAAAACACATTTTGGAAACATTGTTTCTCCTCAATTCCAGTAACATACAACATATCTAATACATTATAAGGGAGACACTGAACAAAGAAATCATGCCTCTCTTGTTCTGTTTTTTTAAATCCTGGGGCTATCTACCTGTTTGTGAACAGGGTTCCTACCTGAAGGATGTAACCCCGAACATAGTCGCGGAGAGTCCAGCCCAAACCGTGAAGGATGTGCAGTACTTCTTCCTGTTTCAATACGCTGAACAGTCGATCAAGGAGAATCTTCAGTCTCACAGGCACAGCCTGAGTACCATATAGCATCAAGCTGCTGATGTCGAACACAACGTTGGATTGCACAATCTCCACTTGAGTTGGATGGTACAAATGCTGAGTGCTAAGCTTGTCCAAAGCTGAAAGAAGGAATAAAGCCAGAGAATGGTGAAATAAGGACAGTACATTAAATTGAATCTATTATTATTAAGATTAAGATATTTAATATTAATATTTATTATTAAGATAAGATATTATTATTAAGATTATTAAGGTAAGAGCCGTTGTGGCGCAGTGGTTAGAATGCAGTACTGCAGGCTACTTCTGCTGACTGCCGGCTGCCTGCAATTTGGCAGTTTGAATCTCACCAGGCTCAAGGTTGACTCAGCCTTCCATCCTTCCGAGGTGGGTAAAATGAGCACCCAGGTTGTTGTGGGCAATAGGCTGACTCTGTAATCCACTTAGAGAGGGCTGTAAAAGCACTGTGAAGCAGTATATAAGTCTAAGTGCTATTGCTAAGTGCTATTAAACTGTACTGTTCAGACTACAATTGTAGGTTACATTAAAAGAGCATATTACACTATAATAACTGATGATATGATGCACAAAATACACATTTAAGCGCACTGAAAGCAAATATCTGACTAATAACAGTGCTGTTAATCTCTCAACAGACTGAATTGTACAATAGATATTTTCCCTCTTCCGCCTGTATTAAGGATAAAACTATTTAGAGAAACAGATACCAAATTTATACACCCAATTATCTACCACACATAACAGAACTCTGTTTTCTATTACATACTTGTATATGTGCGGTAGATAATTGGTAGATAATTTATATAAATTTAGTATCTCTTTCTCTAAATAGCTTTATTCTTAACATGGGCAGAAGAGGGAAAATATCTATTTGTTCAATGTACTCAGTTGAGAGATAGAAATGAAATGAAAAAATGAAAATAACGTCAGCTTTTAACTTTCACTTAAAATTTTGCTGTTTGAAAAATACATTTTTAATACATATGTGCAAGCTCATTGATACACAAAGACTTCACCCAATAATCTCTCTGGCTTCCCTTCCCCCCTTTTCATTCAAATAACTTCAAAATCAGTTCAACTGTTTCTTGTTTTTTATTCTGAAAGACTCAAGAATCCTTCATGAAATGTAACGTTTAACAAAATGGACTTCTTTATTATACTCCCTTTTTATTTTTTTAAAAAAATGCAATTTTGTCAGCTTTAAACATTTTCTTGCAGGGAGTCCTCTTCCTCCTTATGCACTTTGGTATCTTCTTTGCTGGTTCTCACTGGAGAGCTCATGTACTCTTGATAAATTGCTTTCTTCTATCCCAGCATAAATGCCCTTATCATTTCCCTACTGGCTACATTCAGCACATATAACCCCTGGGACACTTTGTCAAAGAATACTGGTTTCCTCATATTTCATTTCTTGCTCCTGATTTGTCTGATCTTTCCTATTTTAGCAGTTTAGTCAACCTTGAATAAATAGGTTTTTAAAAATTAATTTAAAGTTCACAAAAGATAAGGGATTGGCAAGCTTGGGGACTGAAGTCCTCTGTCTCTTCACAGAGCATTCACTCTGCAGAAATATGAAAGGAGATATCAATACACATACCATTAATTGTTTGATTTACTTCAATTTAAAACTCCTCCGTCACTAACAGTCAAAGAAAGCACTGTGTTTTCCATGTAATTATGGAATTGCTACAATACATAACTATAACTCGTTATAAACAGTTTGATCACCTGATTAAAAAACCCCAAGAACTGTCTCTCCCTCTCTCCTCTCTTCAGTCAATCCTCCAACTGTAAGTACCATATTCATTTTTCAGTTTATTTTAACTCATCACAATGACATCACTGTGATCTATGAGCCATGGTGGCACAGTGGTTACAATGCAGTATTGCAATGAAATTCTGCTGACTGCCAGCAGTTCGATTCTCACCGGCTCAAGATTGACTCAGCTTTCCATCCTTCCGAGGTCAGTAAAACGAGGACCCACTTTATTTCGGGCAATATGCTCCAAATAAACTGCTCTGTAAAACTGCTTAGAGAGGGCTCTAAGGCATTATGAAGAGGTATATAAGTCTAAGTGCTATTGCTATTGCTATCTACCTGTACCTTGAAAGTAGTGAACGATATTTATATGACTGTGCAGCAAAAGCTAAATTTTTCAGAAGATAATATTCTTTTGATTACATGTCTAGCATATGTAATTTGACAGCTGGACGATGCAAATGGATTTTCCATGCCCTTATTGTGGCTAAGAGTGATAGTACTGCAGCATTGAAAAGATAACTGTAGGGCACCATTTTCTCAATGGATTGTAGATCTGGTCATGCTTGCTACATACAAGCAGATTGCCTATATATGTAGGCTTTATATGGATAGGTATAATGAAATATGGGACTCATTTATACAAAATAGAGTAAGTTATAAAAAGCACCACATTATATAAGTGGAAGTCTCTCTCTCTCACTCACTCTCTCTCTCTCTCCCTCCCTCCCTCTCTGTAGAATGTTTGCATTAGGTAGTTATACAGAGAAATATAACTGTTTACATGTCTCAGTTTACAAGCACAATTGACCCCAACATTTCTGTTGCTAAACAAAAAACAATTGTTAAGTGAGTTTTGACCCCTTTTATGATCTTTTTTTGCCACAGGGTTTAAATGAATTATCTGTGGTTGTTAAGTTACAAACACAGTTGTTAAGTGAATCTGGGTTCCCCATTGACTTTCCCCATTCCGCCATTGTCGGAGGTTGCAAAAGCAGATCACCTGACCCCGGGACACTGCATAAATATGAACCAATTGCCAAGTGTCTGAATTTTGATCATGTGACTATGGGGATGCTACAATGGTAGTAAATGTGAAAAACAGCCATATCCCTTTTTCAGTGCCATTGTAACTTCTATCACTAAATGAATAGTTGTAAGTCAAAGACTACCTGTATTGTTCTAACAACATATTCTTTATTTTTTTTCGGTTGTCGGTTATTTTTTTAAAGCACTTGTTATGTATTTTTAACAACGTATGTATCTTTGTGCTTTGTTTTGTTCTTTTGCTATTATTTAAAGTATTTCTATGTCCCTTACTTACATGTCTTTCTCTAGGCCCTGCATGACACTAAAGCAGCAAAATCAATCACTGCCAGAGTTTTCATCTGCACAAAATTAGAGATCACGAAGTAGATTGCATTTCTCTCTTCTCGGCCCTTCTTGATATTCAGATTACCATGACAGCAGCATTCAAGGAACCACAGAAAATCACCCTCCTAAAGCATCTGAAATTTATTGCTACCCTGGAATAACCTCTTGTGTTTGTGTTCCTAGGGATCAGTGATGGGTTTCACTTACCTTTGCTACCGGTTCGCATGCACAGTATTTGATGACGCCTGGGCAGGTGGCCGGAGCCTCCTGCTGCCGCTACTACCGGTTCGCCCGAAGTGAGGCGAACCGGTAGCAACCCACCACTGCTAGGGATGCTGTTGTAACTGGATCCCTGGTGCTGATGGAGTGGTGGGACATATACCTCTGCCCTCCCCAAAAATATTCCTCCCTATAACTACAGTATTATCCCATTCACAATGAGAAAATGAGGGACAATGTCAGTGTCTCACTGCTGGCATAGAGAGGAGAGAGATAAGCCCTGAACTTTTGCCTGCTAAATCCCTGTGAAGCTGGGTCGTCGTGGAAATGAAGGGAGGGGGGGACATTCCTGTGAAATGACGAGACAAGAAGTCAGTGGAGTGACTTGGAAGATAGCCAATGAGAAGCAGATAATTGGGGATCGGAAAGGGAGGGATTGGGGGGCAAAAGGTCAGTCTTGTCCGAATCGAGTCATGATCCGGTTGCTGTGCTCAATTAAAGAGAAGATTTCCTTAAAGATTGGCAGTTTGGAAATTCATTTATTTTGAGATAGCATCGAAGTCTAACAGACAAGTGATGAACCTGAACCGCAGAACTTCACAAAATGCTCTTTTATTTCTGAAAATGCAGCTAGTCCTCAGTTAACTATCGCAATTGGTACCAGCAACTCCATCGCTAAGCAACATGATTGCAAAGTGAAAAAAATTACATGATTGTACCAATTCATGACAGCAGATCCGGCAGTTCTAATTGGGGTCATTAAGCTTGATGTCATGTGATTATGACTTGCGACTTCCTGCTGCCTTCCCCATTGAGTTTGTTTGCTGGAAGTTGGCAGTGAAGAGTAGGAAATAGTGACCATGTGACCTTGGGGCACTGTGACTATTAAAATTGCATGCTGCTTGCCAAGCACCCATATTGTGACTGTAGGGACAGTGTGACAGCTGTAACTTTGAGGACTGGTTGTAAGCCTTCTTGTTCAGTGCCATCATTACTTCAAATGGTTCCTGAATGAGTGGGCACTAGTTGAGACCACTTGTACATGTCATAACGTGTCAAATTTAGTATTTCAAAGTATAAATTGCCAACTTTTGCAACACTATTATAGAGGCAATATAGATAAAGCAACATATATTCTTTAATGATAGAAGGTAGGGGGGATAGTAAAACACTTTGGATAATCTGTAAATAGAAACCACTTAAACTCTCAAATGAGCAGAACAAAGAGGTTGCTAAAGCTCATAATTATATGTAATTTCTCCCAAATAATATTCAATGAATTCACACTAAGGGTTTGGAATAAGAAAGACCACCGCACTGTCTACTGGACTATATGGAAGTCTTATAGGATATTCTTAATTTTTTCAGTTTGATGATTGTGATGTATTAAGCTAGCTCATGCAATACATTTCAGGTTTTTTTTTTCCCCATTGGAAAGATGCCAGAAGTAATGTCATATTTTCCTTTGGAAATGTTTCTAAGGTTCTTTAAAAGCTTCACCTTCATAGTCCCAAGAGAGCCTCTAGAGTATGCTTCACACAGGACATCAAACCTTTGTCTTGAGTTCATGAATGATATATAAGAGCGTTGTGTTTTTTTCCAAAGGTGAAGAGATTTGCTTGTTTCAATTGACCTCTGGATTTTCCTGAATGGAACACTTCATTATTACAAATATTTTCCCACATTGTACTTTGATGTTGCCACTCTGTTTTCTTGTCTTTCTAATGGATTGCTTGATATGCTCATAGA